TCTCCCTCTCTCTCTGCCCCTCCCCTGTTCATTCTCTCTCTCTTGAAAATAAACATAAAAAAATTTTTTGAACCAATCATGAAACATTTAATGTGATAGTTTCCTATTGTATAGTTTAGAGTTTTTGCTGTCATACCTTCTGCCTTATTCTTCCAGTGTTTTTCCTGGGTGTGACTTGTACCTGGTGTTGGATTCATCAGCCTGGGGAACATCCGGCATTTCCTGTAGTGGAGGCTTGCTGGTGACGCCCTCTTAGGTTTTGGCCTGAAAACGTTTTCAGTGTGCCTTTGTATTTGAAGGGTATTTTCGCCAGATACAGAATTCTGAGTTGACAGATTTTTTGTTCCATCTCAGCACTTTGAAGGCGTCCTTCCATTGTCTTCTGGTCTCCATTGATCTCCGGCTGTCAGCGGTTCGAGCATGATGCATGCACCTAGGGGTGGTTTTTTAATGGATCTCACTTGGGATTTGCTGAACTTCCTGGATTTGTTACTCGGTTTGTTGTCACTTTTGAGGTTTTCAGCCATTCTCTCTTCAAATACTTTCCAGTTCTCTATTTTCTTTTCCGTAGGATCATTAATTAAATATTGTCCCAGGAGTTCTGAAGGTTCTGTTCATTTTCTGACAAATCTCTGTTTTGAGGTCGTGCAGGCTCTAGTAATCTGTCTTCAGGTACATTGACTCTTTCTTCTGCTTCTCCCTTCGGCTGGCAAGCCCATCGGTGTTTTCCATTTCAGTTATCATATTTTTCTGTTGTAGAATTTCCATTTGATTCTCTTTTATTGTTTGTTACTCTGATGAGACTCCTGGTCTCTTCGTTTGCCTCTACCCTGCTGGCCCCTGAGCATTGAGCCATGGCTCGGACTCCTCTCCTGGCCGGGTCTCAGGTGCTGACTGCCGGCTGATGCCTTCCCCAGGGCGCCTGGGCGTTGGAGGGAAGGCTTGGCTTTCCCTTCAGTCTTCCCCCTCCTCGGCCCTCTTCCTTGCTTCCTTACAGGTGTGGCTTCCATCCCACCCGCTTCCAAGCCAGAAGTCTGAACACCCCGCTTATGTCCGTCCTTTCCCTCACTCTGTCCTGCCCCTCATCCCACCCATCAGCAGAGGCCGTTGATTATGAGAGCTGGAAGGTCCTCCCCGCTCCGTCCCCAAGTCTTGGCCGTGTCTGAGCCCGTCTCCTCTGGGCTCTCTTCCCACCTTCAGACTGTCGATGGCTTGGCAGCCCCCTGCCCTTAGCCCCTGCGGCCCTGTGTGCCAGCTCTTGTCCCCCTTCCCATTCTGTTGCTGACCGTTTCCTTTCTGCCCGCTGGGCTCTGGCCTCACTGGCCTCTCTCTTCCCACCCCCTTCCTGCCTCTCGGCCTCTGTGCTGCTCCTGCTGGCTGCACTCTTCTTTCTCAGCTCTGAGTAGCAGCTTTAGTCTCTTCCTCCGGGCCTCTGCTCAGACGTGGTCTTCGCAGAGGCCTGTCTGTCCTCCCGTCTAGAGTGGCCTCTCCCATGCTTCCCTCTCTTCCTTTCCTGCCGTGGTGCTGACCTCGACCTGTGCTTCTCATCTGCTAACTTTCTCTCCCCGCTGTGATGCTGAGGTCCTCGATAGCAGGAACCTTGGCTTTGTTGTTCACGGTCGTGTTCGGAGCGCCCAGAGTGGAGCCGGCACGTAAGACCGTTTACCGATTGGTGAGCGAGCAGTGAGTATTCTCAGCACCCACTGAGTACCTGGCATGGTGGACACTTGCTGTCATAGACACGGGAGCCTCGTTCTTCACTTCTGGCTTTCTTCTGCTGGGCTTTAACATTGGAATTGATTTCAAAAATAGAAATAAACTTTCCAGATATGGCCATGACTTTTGCTTGCGTCAAACTCTTACATGTGTCGTTCAGTCTTATCATTTACACAAATCTTCGCTTCTGCTTGGCCGCTTTTTTCATTTTACTTGACATCTGTGTGGGCAGCACAAATTTCCTCCCAAGAGAGCAAAATAACAAAAGAAATTTGGTTCACGAGGAACAGTTTCTAAATTTAACAAGTGTTCTAATATTACTATTTGGTATGTGTGTGGCCCGAGTAGTGATAACTCAAAATTTTTTTAAATCTCTGTTGTCTTCTGCTTGTTTTAGGTCGCAAAAGAGTTTGGCTTCCAGAATAATGGCTTCTCAGTTTACATAAATAGAAACAAGACTGGAGAGATAACAGCATCATCTACCAAATCCCTGAGTCTGCTCAAAATCAAGTAAGTGCCGTGGGGGGGATGACAGGGCGGGGAGGGGGTGACTCCAGTGGCCCACCGATCGCTCATTCTGCCCGATTGCCTCCCAGTGCCACCGCGCGGTGGCTGGAGTGCAGGTGAGCACGTTTTTTGCCGGGATTTCAGCAGTCGCACCGGCTCCGCTGGTCCTCTTGTGCTGAGCTGATTGACTTGCAGATTCTGAGCTTTTGTCACTGAGGAGAGAGAGTTATGGGTTCGGGGTGTGCGCCCAGCTGCACACTCAGCTCTGTCTCTGCAGAGAAGGACCTTGAACGCGGCCGTGGGGAGTTCTGCCTCGGGACTGCTTGGCGAGGAGGAGGGGCCGTCGCCCACACTATATTTCTTGGTGGCGTGACCCCCTCGAGCTCCTTAGCGGGGGGCAGTCACGTCAGTAGGGTTTCCAGGATGTAAAGACCTCTTACCGTGGCCGCTGCCTGTTCTCCGTAGTTTAATTGGAGCCCAGCCACATCCATGCGTTGCTGTGCTCTCGTGCTCCAAGGGCAGAGCTGAGTGATTGTGATAGACGGCCTGGCCCCCGAAGCCGAAAATATTTACTGTTTGGCTCTTCACAGAAGAAGTTTGCTGACTCCTGTCCGAACTGTCTGGGCATACCTGCTCACGTGCCGGTGATCGCCGTCCTCGGCGGCGAGCTTGGAGCTCTCTCCTGTCGGGGCTGCAGGCCGTGTGGCTGCTGTGGTGATCGAGCTGGCTTTGCTGGCGGTCAGCCCTGCGTCTGTTTACCAGTTAGAATAATAGGCTATTTGGACAATTTGTGTGATCGTTTTTAGGTTCGTGAATTAGTATGCCTAGGAGGAAAAATACACAATTATAACATTCATTCATTTGTTCCTCAACAGATATTTGTTGGGTACCTGCCACTTGCCTATTTCTGTAATTAGCTAAAGCCTTTCGTTGTTGACGTCCATTCCCCACGTGGGTGAGGTCATCCTTCCTCTCAGCTTGTAAAGGGCTTTGTATCTTGAGAATCACTTCTCGTGAACGTTCCGTGGTTTGAGTTCATCTGGGGAAGTTACTTAACCCCCCTGGGCCTCACCCTCTTGGTCTGCGAGTAGCCGTGCCGCCTTCCCGTGGCTGCGCAGCGCCTGCCCACGGCGAGCATGCGGATGACGCCTGTGTTACCCAAAACTGTTGTGATAGCGGATGCAAGCAAGGGCGGAGGTTACAGAGCGAAACGCCTCTGAGAGAAAGCCCCCAAACTGTAGTGTTGTCATAGAGCTGTCCCAGAGGGGTGGGGCCCGGGAGTGGGGCAGCTCGGCCATCCTGGGGGGCACTTGGAGGCACTGTGAGTCACGCTTGAATGTATCTTTCCAGTGATAGTCGTACTAGTTATTGTCCAACTTGGATCTGACCTTGTGGGCTATGTTCTCTCTTACCTGACGTCTTTGGGCAGGAGTGATGTGCCTCTCCTTGACCTTGGTGTTGGTCTTCCCCCACTTCTTCTGGCCTCTGGGGTTGTAGTCCAGTCTGCTTGACTCTGTTGTTCATTTAGAGGTGATCCTTTTTTCCCTCTGGCTGCTTTTAGATCTTCTGTTTCTCATGGGGTCCTGGTTTCTGTCTGATCTGTCCAGGTGTGGATTCCTGGTTCCTTTAATCCTGCCTGATGTACGCTGTGTTTCCTATACCTGCAGATCAGGTCTGCAGAATTTGTGGCCATTATCTCTTTTTATTTTTTTTAAAATGTTTATTTTTGACAGAGAGAGAGACAGAGCATGAGTGGAGGAGGGGCAGAGAGAGAGGGAGACACAGAATCGGAAGCAGGCTCCAGACTCCAAGCTGTCAGCACAGAGCCTGATGCGGGCCTTGAACCCACAGACTGCGAGATCATGACCTGAGCCGAAGTCGGACGCCCAACCGACTGAGCCACCCAGGCGCCCTGCCATTATCTCTTTAAATATCACTGCTCCCCAGTTCTCTTTGTTATTGCAGTGATTACATTTTTCACTTCTAAAATGTTCGAATTGATTTCTTTTCGGATCCAGCTGTTAGCAACATGCACTCGTGGGGGCCACACTGCTCTCACACCGGCCTCTAGGCTTCCGGTGAGGAGCACCGGGCTCCCCGGGGGCTCTGCCTTGGCCAGTCACACGCGTGAGGCTTCTGTCTTGGGACTTGGGGTGTCTGTGGTCTGTCTCCCCCGTATGGAATCGGGATGCACTGTTGTTGGTGCTGTCTGTGGTTGTCTGGCCTGTCCGTATGAGGGGGACTTGGGAAGATTTACTGAATCTGTGACCCTGCCACCCTGCTCCCAGAAGCCCATGTTGTTGGGTGGCCTCTTGCTGCTTGGGCTTTTTCCATCCCGTTTCCGGTGACCATTCTGTGGCAGTTTGTGTTCCAAGTCGTGTAATTCCAAATCTGAAGTCCTCGGTTCTCTTTCTCTGGTATTGTTGTCTCTGCCCACTCGTGCGTGTGATGACTCGGTTCTCTCCTGCGTTTGGTGACCCTTTTTTGAGAGCTTGTAGTTGACCAAACTTGGTCTTGGGGAGTCCTGGAGAGCTGCAGGGGAGTGGCTTTTCCGTGGAGGGAGGCCTGCACTTGCTTCTGTTGGGACAAGGGGGCCCGTGCACCTGGCGGGCCTTCGAGTTAATTTCTGTCTTTGGGCTTCCTGAGCCGGGTAGCGTCCCTCATCCCACCCCAGTGCGTGCGGCACAATAGGCCTTTGGTTTCAGACCCTGAGGGACTACAGCATCCACCGCTGCGTAGTGGGTGGAGGAAGACAGGATTCCTCCTTGGTTCCTATTCTCAGCTGGTGGTCTCTCCCAGCTGTTGAGACGTCTGGCTTTATGTGTGGCCTTTCAGGCTGGGCAACCTGCTTTGGACAGGCTGGCTCAAGGCCTCGCTTCCCGTTGCCCAGACAACAACTGTGTAAGCCAAGCTCAGGGCCCCTGTCGTGCAGTGTTCTCTCGCTGTTCTTGTTTGAGCTACTGTGGGCTGTCGAGACCCTGCGGGAGCTCCGTACTTTGTCCAGAGCTCCGCAGTGCTTGTCGGAGTAGATCTGCTAAAGCAGAAGTAGCCGCCGAGCCAAGAATTCCACGGCTGGGGGTGTGGAGGAATGTCCGGTCCCTTGCTAGAGACAGAGGTCTCTAGCTGGAGTCTGGCAGGTTTGTTCCCTCGGTGGGGAAGAGGCAGAGGGGAGAACAGACCCGCTGCAGAGCCAAGGGGCCAAGCCTCTTAGCGGCCTGTGTCTCTGGTGTCTGTGCTCGAGGCCCGCTGCCCCACCTCGCTCGGGGAGCGGGGTCAGGGGTGCGGCAGGCTGTCCCTTCGGTCTTCCGGCAGTTCGGTGCCTACCACACGTGGTGCCACAGCTCTGCCTTCAAGACCGGGGCTGATCTTCGTGCCGCAGGCCCTCCGCGCGCGGGAGCCCATGCTGCGTCTGGACCGCTGCTTGTGAGTGGGGACGTCACACGCCTCAGGCCTGGGGCTTGGCTGTGCCCGCCGGGTCTGGCGGTGAGTCAGCAGTGTGAGTGAGCAAGGAAGGAGCGTAGTTGACATGGCAAATGATAGAAGGTCAAACTCTGCCGTTTGAAATGTGAGTTGTGCAGCCCATTTGGCTTTAAAAACCAACAGAAGCCCTGCTCATAGGGCCACTTCTGGAAACGTGCCCTGTAGAACTAAAACCACACAGCTGCCTGACTTTGGTCATTTCGTCCAGTGGTGTCCGTGGTGGCAGACACCCATCGGTGCACATGCCACCGGCGTGGGAGACGGGGTGAGCTCGGAGGCAGGCTCGCCGGGGAGTGCGGCCGTTAGAAGCAGTGCTCAGACCTAGACCGTGTTTGGAGGGATCTCGGGTGAGGTATCGTTGAATGAGAAAAGCGGATGCACGGGGCGCCTGTGTGGCGCAGTCGGTTAAGCGTCCGACTTCAGCCAGGTCACGATCTCGCGGTCCGTGAGTTCGAGCCCCGCGTCGGGCTCTGGGCTGATAGCTCAGAGCCTGGAGCCTGTTTCCGATTCTGTGTCTCCCTCTCTCTCTGCCCCTTCCCCGTTCATGCTCTGTCTCTCTCTGTCCCAAAAATAAATAAACGTTGAAAAAAAAAAAAATTTAAATAAAAAAAAAAAAAGAAAAGCGGATGCAAAGAATACGTCTTCGGTCATCTCATTTTTATCGAGTGGGACGTACGTGTCTGTGCATACGTGTGGGGCGGTGAGTGTGAACGTAGGGAGGAACGTAGGGAACGTAGGGTGGAAATGGAAGGCTGTGTACTAGGCGGCGAGACTTAGGAGTGCTCGACAGTAGGCGGGAAAGAAGGAACAAAGAGAAGTGGAGCCAAGCTCGGCGTGAGCAGGGGAGAGTGCTGCCCACGGGCCGGGTGTATACGTCGCGACCGTGTTTCATCTGTGTGGCGTCGGGCGGGCGTGGGGGTCTTACAGTTGGGCGAGAGATGAAGTCACACGGCCACGGAGCGCCCTCCCTGACCTTCAGAGTGCTAGGCGCGTGGCAGTGCTGTGCAGGGAGGGCTCTGGGCTCTTAGAATTAGCAACCTCGTCATTTGGGCCTTCAGGGAGGTTGGATGCCAGAGACCCTCACGTCTGAGCAGCTCGTCTGGGCGGCCCAGGTTGTGAGAGGAAGGGAGGCAGGCCCTGCCCTGTGTTCGTCACCTGACAGGCATGGAGATTTGCTGTTCCTGTTCCCCTCGGGCCTCGCCGGCCCCTCGTCGGAAATGGAGACGTCGGTCCCGCCGGGGTCGAAGGCCTGCGGCGCTCCCACCGTGGTGGAAGACGAGATCGACCAGTACCTCAGCAAGCAGGACGGGAAGATTTACAGAAGCCGCGACCCACAGCTGTAAGTGCTGGCGCCGCCGAGCCGGCGGAGGGAAGGGTTCGGACGGGCCGTGCTTTAGGGAGTGGCTGAGGAAGAGAGGCAAGTTCTGAGTTTGATCCTCTCCGTTCAGGCGAGATTTCACTCCAAGTTACTCTGGAAGCTTTTTCTTACCGTGTGAGTCTCCAAGTGTGCTGCCACACGTACTTTAAAAGCGTTCAAGTGTTTGGAACTAAGATCTGGAATACGGGAGGGAACTGGAACCAAGCCTTTCCCGGGATGCGCTCCTGAGACACTTGCCACCCACGCAGCGGGTGCGGCTTTAGCGGGTGTGGGTGCGGCGGGGCAAGCGTGGGGGGGGGGGGGGTGACGCCTGGGCACCTAGCAGCGGAAGGTCCTTGTTCGGGTCCCCTCGTTCACTTACAGGAGGGACATTTCAACAGCGCATCCACACAGTACGTTCTGCCCGTTCTGTTCGGCGGGTGTCCCATCTGGGGACGCTTGCTGCTCCTTGTCGGCACGGTTACCTTCCACCCGGGATTACATGGGGCGCATTTGTGTAGTTTTGGTTTTTTGCAGTTCTTTTAAAGAAACCAGTTAGAAACGTCTGGGTGGACGCTCAGTGATGGGAAGTTGTCTGGGGGAAGGTTGTTCGTCTCTGCAGTAGAGCTCCGTAAACGTGCCGGGGTGCTGATGCCGAGATGCCGGGATCTAAGTGCTGCCTTAGCAACTTGCGGGTCTCGGACTAAAGAGCCCAAGCGGTGCTCAGCGGCTCAGCATGGAGCCGTTCCAGAGCCACAGCCTGTGTCCCTGTTCATTTGCATTTCCTCCCAGGGATCCCGCGCTGGCTTCCCCCACGGCCCGTGTCTTGGGGCCTTCATTAGGAACTTTTCCAAGGTGGCTGTGTGCGTGTATGTGTGCGTTCTGGCCTGCCATCTGTGAGAGCCTGCCTGTTAGCAGACACAGGCCATCTCTACTCTGAAGTGTAGAATGCTCGTGCGTCCAGGAGTTCTGACCCCATTTAGAAAAGGATCTGCTTGAGCCCAGAGGGACTGCCACTTGGCTTTCCCACCAGCCCATCACTGCCCTCCTCATTGGAGCGCATTGCGCTGTCACCTCGCACGTGTGGGTCTTCTTAAGGCTTCTCTGACCGAAATGGCCGAAACCCACAGAGCCAGGCATCCTCCGTGCATTTCTCAAAACTTGCGCAAAGTGGGTGTTTCCCAAACTGGAGTGACTTCTGTTCCACTGAGAAGGATTTCGCCACATCCGCATCCCGGCTTTGTTAGTATTTACTTAACGTCTATCGAAATTGATTTTAAGTACACTCACTTTAGTTTTTACTCGGTGTCATTTTAAGCAGTTAATACCCATAGAATCACAGGTTTGACGTCCTGATGAATTTTTTCTAATAACACATCCAACTAAATACTAAACTGTTTTATTACAATAAAAATGTTCACATCCCAGCTAAAATAATTCTGCACAGCAGGTGCCTGGCTGGCTCAGTTGGTAGAACCTGTAATTCTTGATCTCGGGGTCGTGAGTTCAAGCCCCGTGTTGGGCGCAGAGTTTACTTAAATAAAAAATAAATAAAATAATTCCACGCAGGTCGGGAAAAACTTTATTAAGTATGGTGTGTGCTTTAAATATCAAAAACATTGGGAGGCAGCAACAGGAAAACAGGCCTACTAATCACTGTGTTTCTCCCGCCCGTGCTCTCAGGTGCCGACACGGCCCCCTGGGGAAATGTGTGCACTGTGTTCCGCTAGAGGTGAGAGCGTGCAGCGTAAGTTCCGGGCTGGCGGGAGGGACTGCTTCCCAGGGCGTGTCAGGTGTCCGCTCTGCACCCCTGCGCCGGGCCGGAGCCGGAGCAGACCTTACCTGTCTATTGCCCTGGGCCCTGGCGTTCCCGCTGGTGCAAGCCGCGTGAAGAGGGCCGGCCTGTATTTATGGGAGTGACCTTCTGGTGGGTTATGAATGGCCGACGCGTTTGTATTGCTGTGATGGACGGGCAGCGTTCCGGCGGGCTCCCCGGACAATCCTTCTAAAACCTGACACGGCGCTGGGGCTGGCGGTTTCTGTGCTCGTCGTCGTTTTGATTTACTTTTCCCTGAGTCTCCCGTCCTCCTACTGATTTGTCCTGGTGAGATTGAGAGTTACCATAATAATGCTGACTGGTAACTGGTTACTGCTGAGTTTACAGCAGCAAGGCCAACCTGATTTTCTTCGTGAGCCTCCTCTCCATCTTGCGGCTCCCCCCGCCCCGCCAAATTTTCCTGATAGCTACCTGACCTAGAGCATTTTGTATTTAATAGAGATTTATTTTAATCTCGGGAAGATAGCTGGTACACGAAGAAACCTTTGGTTCTGACCTAGAACGATAAGTGAGAAGCCAGCCCCGGTTCTCTCTCCTTGCCCTCCGTGGGGCCTGACTTGACCCCCACCCCCGGGGGCGTGCAGCAGGAGTGCGGCCCGCCTCTCCTCACCTCTCTGCGCCCGCGGGCGTGGGACTGTACTGACTGTGTGTGTTTCGGCAGCCGTTCGACGAGGATTACCTGAACCATCTTGAGCCTCCTGTGAAGCACATGTCCTTCCACGCCTACATCCGAAAGCTGACCGGGGGGGCCGACAAGTAAGCAACCTGAGCGCAGTTAGGCTGTGCTGGTGTGGCTCTGGCGTAGCTCTGATGTGCGGGTGCCCCTTTTGTGTATCTGGCAGGGGTCGCTTAAAGACCACGAGCGTGTGAATGAGAAAAGCAAAGATCGGGGTCTGGGCGTGGAACATTTGAATTCGTGGCTTCTGCCCCGATTCTAGAAAAGAAACAGACGGGTGGAGCCTCTGATGCCCTGTCATAATCCTTGCCCGGGCTGGCGGGCAGATGCCAAGCTGGCAGTGGTCTCTGTGGAGGCCCCTGGTGAACGTCCCCCGCTTCCCCCAGATACGTGGTGGTCCCGCAACTTAGTGGTATGTGAAGGCGGATGAGATAAGGCGGCACGATGGTCAGTCTTGTGGAGTGTGGGCTCATCCTTTGCTTTTCAGAAAAACTGAACCCACCGCATGGTGCTCTTGGCTCACTTATTCCACAGCCCCCATCAGCCCTTTGCCCTGGAGCCCGCCCCTTTATCAGCTTGATTTCACAGCCATCGTGTGGGCTCGGCAGGTGTGAGCTGCAGCCTCGGCCAGGTGGGCGGTGGGGCGGCCAGCTCTGGGCTCCCTGAGCGCGGGCGGTGACAGTGGCTGGAGAGGGGCTGACCGAGAGCATTTTGAGTTCTTCTAAACCACGTCAAGTACTTGCCTGTGCGACCCCTTTCCGCTGACTATACTTCACCCTCCCAGAAAGTGATGGACTTCACACCAGGATTTTACAATTCCCATCAGTGCAGCAGGACGAGATGGTGGCTGAACCCAAGGCAGCAACGTTTTGTGAAGGGTGTCATGTTGGCCTGATTGTTGTTTTTTCTCTGACAACCTACTGACATCCTAAAAGGAGTTTTTAAAAAAGTTAGACCAGGAGGAAAAAAGTCCAACCAGAAACCCGTTCTTGCCTGTCCGTGGGGTAAGCCATGGAACTTCCTGGACTAGGTATGAGTAGAGATTGTGTTGTGCTGAGCTCCGTCAGCCTTCCGCACATTTGCGGCTGTCGGTAATGTGCAGGCCGGTGGCGGTCCCTGCTGCCAGCGTGCTGTTGGCCTGTGAAGACAGGACTGAGTTATGGGACCGTTTGTGAATGGGAAGCTGGCAGAGGGTCAAGGCACATGTGCACATTCTCCCCGCATCCAGGTGGTGCCCTGGCTTCCTCACGGGATAGTCTTTATTCCAGCTGAAAGCCGGGGACAGAGGTCTTTGTAACGTACCCTCGTCGGGGTTCTTCCCTGTGATTCTGAATTTTTTACGAGCATCCAAGTACTGGACTCGTGACGTAGATGTTGCTGATGAGTTAATGAAACTTAAAAACTAGCGTTGTTTCCTCTTAGTGGCACGGGTTAGAGCAATAGATATTTAATTGCGTCCCTGAAAGTCTTCATGAGTGTTAGTGACCGACATTGAAAATGGAGACGTTTTGTAGGCTGGTAGTTCTGTATTCGTGCGCAGTCTGCATGTGCAGGACGGAGGCTGGGACTCCGCGAGAGCACTTTTTAGCACGTTTCCCTTGCTGTTGCCTCCACACGCTTAGGTCTTTAGAACTCTGTTCAGGAGGGGTAGGATATTTGTCATATGATTTCCAGTTTCCTGCTGAACGTTTCACCATCGGAATGTTTACTCAAGTTGCCTCTTCTTGTTCAGGGGGAAATTTGTTGCTCTGGAGAACATCAGCTGCAAGATTAAATCAGGATGTGAGGGGCACCTTCCGTGGCCCAACGGCATCTGTACTAAGTGCCAGCCAAGTGCCATCACACTGAACAGACAGGTGAGACATTTGCCGTGCCCGCCTAGACAGCGGAAAACAGTAGATTGGTTTTCATGGCTCGGAAATGAACATTTCCAGAAGGGGCCGTCCTTGGAGGGAGCCACCCCGTGCAGAGTGCAAGTTCAAGTGCACTTTCAAGTCCTACGCTGGAGGCCTGGAGGTGTTATTTGTGAGATCTGTTTCAGGCCTGGGCGAGGGGGTCTTCAGTTTTCTGTTTTGTCGGCCTGCGTGGAAGTAGAATTTTCTTGGTGACTTTAAAATGCTCCTTGGTTGTGACTTTGCCTTCTGGGAGCTGGGAACCGAATTGTCCTGGAGCCCCCTGGGAGCACCTGTCCAGGCCAGGTAAAGAAGGGAGCTGGACTCTGGAAGGAGGAAGAGACAGGGAAAACTATACGCAGTATCCTGGCCTCTTCCCCTCTGGTCTCCGTGCTCACCTGGCCTTCCCTGCACCACTGGCCCACGTTTCCTCCTTAGAAAGCTCTCCATAGCCTTTGTGACTGCCTGGGAACGGCTTTCTTTCTTTTCTCTCTTCCCTTCCCCCATACCCCTTCTCTTTCTTTTTTTTGAAAACTGATTTTTGTGCCAGAGATCGTGAAAACCTGCACTTTAGGTGAAATCCCAGTAAGATGAATTTGAATTAATTTACAGAGGAATCCCACCTCCACCCACCCACCCTCTAGAATCTTGATGGCAGAGCACATTCTTTTTTTTTTTTCTTAATGTTTATTTTTGAGAGGGAGAGAGAGAGAGAGAGAGAGAGAGAGAGAGCGTGAGCAGGGGAGGGGCAGAGAGAGAGGGAGGCACAGAATCCAATGCAGGCTCGAGGCTCTGAGCTGTCAACACAGACCCCGACGGGGGGCACGAACCCCCATACCGCGAGATCATGACCCAAGCCGAAGTCAGACGCTTAACCTACTGAGCCCTCCAGCCCTACTGCCCCTTCAGGGCACATTCTTAAAACGTGTGTGCATGTGTGTAAGAGCTAGGTGAAGGCAATTTATGAATGGCTTAGACTAGAAAAATAAGTTATTTATTACTGAGTGTTTTCATCACCCCATTGTTTGCTCTACAGAAATACAGACACGTGGACAATATCATGTTTGAGAATCACACGGTTGCCGATCGCTTCCTTGACTTCTGGAGGAAGACAGGGAACCAGCATTTCGGGTATTTGTACGGACGGTATACAGAGCACAAAGACATTCCGCTTGGCATCAGGGCCGAAGTGGCCGCGATTTACGAGCCTCCCCAGGTAGGCGGGCTGGGGCTTCACGGCCCGAGGCTTCTGTGGCTTCTGCTCTGAAGGCTGCGCGGGACTCTCGTTTCGGGCTTCGTTTCACTCCTTTTGCTTTATCGTTTCCCAGTCTGTCTCCGTCTGTGTCTACACGAGACACGTGCACACAGACACACGGTATTTATTTTCCGAATTCTTAGAGGGTAAGCTCATGGCCCCTACGTATTTCAGTGTGCCTTTCTAACGCGTAAGGATGTCCTCTTACCTAATGATAAATACACTTGTCAACTTCAGTAGGTTGACCATTGATGCGATATTGTCATCTGTGCCCTATGTTCCACTTCTGTCTCTTGTCTCCAAGTGCCACACGGCTGCTCTCTCCCTTGTAATTCTGTAGCTCCTTTGCCCATGCCTGTGGTCAGCTGGCTCAGAAATGATGGAACCAGGGGGTCTTTATCCCTGTGCCACACACACAGCTATCTTAGAATGACAGCACCAAAATCACCACCGGTATAACACTGGAAACTTTTCTGGTGGAAGGAGGAGGGTCCTTAGGGCGTGTCTCATGAGGGACCAGCAATCAAATACTGTTTTAAAGTCACTTGGAAAGTCCTCTCTTAAGGACTGTGCCACCAACTAGTTAACACATTTATGTTTGTTTGCTTTATTTGCAGTATTTAGGGATAGGTTTTATGTATGTATACTCTTAAACGTGTTGCACGATTACATGAAGTACTTGTGTAGTATGTTTCATTGTATACAATTATTACGAAAGTGAATACTGTAAACATGGAACCCAAGTGTGTGATACACGTGCTGGAGTACTTGGGGAGGGTGTGCTCGTGTCTCTAGTTCCCTATGAAATCAAACAAACTAAGGTGGCTTGGGGGGTGGCCAGAGTATAGTAAATGTTAGTGGCTGGCTCTAAGTAGTCGGTGTATGAGTCCTCACAAGGAAATTCTGTAAACTTTTCTGTATGTTTGAAAAAAATTTTTAAATATTTATTTTGAGAGAGTGAGCGAGCATGTGAGCAGGGGAGGGGCAGAGAGAGAGGGAGAGAGAGAATCCCAAGCAGGCTTCACACTCAGCTTGGAGCCCAATGCATGGCTTGATCCCAACCACGAGAACATGACCCGAGCCAAAAATCAGGAGTCGGACACTTGACCAGCTGAGCCACCCAGGTGCTCCTATGTTTGAAATTTTTAATTAAAATGTTAGAAAAGAAAAAATCACATTTCCAAAGATCCAAGGTACCCCCTTCATCCTATCCCTCTTTCCGAAATATTTGGCTTAGACTTCTAAAATTTGAGTTTTTAAAGTACAAGCGAATAGACAGATATTCATACTATCCTTTGGGTGTATGCCTAGCATACTCACCCTTGTCGCCTTGCACTGTGTTCTTTACGTCAGTCCGTGACCCACCGACTTCTTTTTTTATTATTATTAATGTTATTTTTAACGTTTATTTGTTTTTGAGACAGAGACAGAGTATGAGTAGGGAAGGGGCAGAGAGAGAGGGAGACGCAGTCTGAAGCAGGCTCCATCCAGGCTCTGAGCTGTCAGCACAGAGCCCGAGACCCACCGACTTCTTAAGTAAAGGTCTGAAACCGCGGGCCCCGTCGCTCCTGACTGGTGTGCGGGTGTGTGGCTCTTGCACACGTGCCGTTGTCTCCCCGGCTGTATCTCTGCAGGTTCTGAATGTCGTCTACACCCCTTTGTCCATTTCTGTATTTACTGAGAGCTGCAGAGGAGGTGTCTGAGTGGACCTACTGTGGTGGCTCCTTGGACGGGGGTCGCTAGGTGGCGACAGAGGCTCTGCCTGAGAGCCGGGATCCCCGGATTGCCCAACCGGTAGGGCACTAAGTGTGCTCCGTAATGAGCGGGCTGCTTTTGGAAGCGTGGTACGTTCGCCTTGGGTTTCGTACAGGGTCTCTCTCGTGAGGAGTTTTCAGCAGGTCTCTTGGGAGCTGATTGAATTAAAAACGGAAACAAACCTCTGTCGTCCAGACAGACTCCTAACAGCATCGTCCTGGAGGTTGAAGCCATTGACCTCCAATAGCATCCGCTTCATTAGAAGCGGAAGTCCATGCTGTGACAGGTCTTGAAACCAGATCCTTAGATTTGTCCGGAGTCTGTGGTGTGACCTGTGCTCCGGAGGTGTAGGTGATCTCCATGTGCTAATACTCAGCGACAGAAAGTTCTTTTGTTGTTTTGCCAGAATTTGACTAATTTACAAGGACGTGCCCAATTAGTATAACTTGGTCTGGGGCGGCCTTCACTTTTCTGTGCCTGTGGCTGGGGTTTCTGCCGGGTACGGTACTTCCTAATGACCCTTGAGCTACGTGTCAGTGCAGGCTCTGTCCACGGCAGGGAGTTGGGCTCTTGTGGCCGGCGTAGGTTGTGTGTGAGCCAGCCAGAGTCTGAGCCCACCTGCCACCCCGAGCCAGGTGCTCTGCCCACCCACCGGCAGGTTGCCTTGTCCTTTCCTTGTTTTCCGCCTGTCATTGCTCACTTGGTCCTGTGAAGTGTAGCACTGTGTGCGAAACGGCACACATGTTTTCCTCGCCTGTTTTCTGGAGACACGTTACCTTAGGTTTTCTGGAAACGTGTTACCTTACAGCTCAAATAATCTTGCCTAACCCGGCCAAACCCGTTTGGAAGGCAACTGTTTACCCAAGGGAGTTTTGAAACGGACTTTCCTCAGTGAAGGAACCCAGCAGAAAAATGTGTAGAGAGCCTTTCTCCTCCCTGAGAGCAGCCACATACTCGACGAGGGACTGTGGTGGGAACCACCTTGCCCTCTCGGTCTGGATTGAGAGCACCGTACGGCCTGAGGAGGCCAAGCCCCCGGGCTGCGTTTAGCTGCCCTTGGGACTCCTGAACTGGAGCCGGGTGGCTGTGGGCTCCTCTGAGTTGGGTCTCCTCCTTTTACTGCCCCAACAGATTGGCACACAGAATAGCCTGGAGCTTCTGGAAGACCCGAAAGCTGAGGTGGTGGATGAGATTGCCGCCAAACTTGGCCTGAGGAAGGTACGGAACATTCTGCTGGCTTTTGATGGGGGGGTCGGAGCTGTCTGTTGGGGACCTCCGGGTGGGTGGCACGGCCAGGTCCTGTCTGGGACTGAGCTCCCAGCTACTCAAGGTCAGGTGCAGGCCCAGTGTGTTTACTGGGCGCCACTGCCTCTCTGTTCCTCTGATTTGAAATAAAATGAGAATGTTTCTCTGATCTAAAGTAAAATGAAAACAGATGACTCCCCATTCTGGGGCTTGTGTTTAAATCTGCCGGCCCCTCTTCCTGAGGACAGCTCAGAGAATGGAGGAATGTAATGGCGGGAGCCAGACCCCCTCTTTTGTCCGGGAAGGGGCCTCGATGCCGGGCTGTGTGTCCCGCCCGCACGCTGCGGCCCGGGCTCCTGGTGTGAGCCGGTGACAGAGGCCTGTGTGTGGGGTTCTGCTTCCGTCTCAGGTGCTCCTTCTTCTGTCATCATTGGACTTCCTATTTCTGATTTAGGTGTCTGAGCACGTGAGGTTTCCTAATTTTACCGGGCAGTTAGAAAACAGAGAACTTTCATTTTGAGTCTGTTTTGTTTTTTCTATTAAGTTTACTTATTTTTGAGAGAGTAGGCGAGAGAGTGCACGAGCTGGGGAGAGGCAGAAAGAGAGAGAGAGAGAGAGAGAGAGAGAGAGAGAGACAGAAGATTCCAAGTGGGGCTTGATCCCACAAACTGTGAGATCATGACCTGAGCTGAAATCAAGAGTCAGACGCTTAGCCGACTGAGCCACCCAGGCTCCCCAATCCTTTATTATTTGTTTTTTAATTTAAAAATTTTATTTTTATTTTTTTAAATTTTTTATTTTAGAGCGCGAGCACGTGTGTGAGCAGGGAAGGGGCATAAGGTGAGAGAGAGAAAGAGAGGGAGAATATCCCAAGCAGGCCCCTGTGGCCAGCGTGGAGCCTGTTGCAGGACTTGATCCCATGACCCTGGGATCATGACCTGAGCCAAAATCAAGAGTTGGATGCTCAGCCAACTGAGCCACCCCGGTGCCCCTATCCTTAATTTCTTAATCAACTTATGAACATGGAAAAATTAACTCTCTACAGAAGATAAACAGTGCAAAATAAGGAATGTATTTAAAACCTAGGAATGTTTTAAAGCAAAGTCATTTTCACAAAAGCTTTCAGAAAACGTCCTATTGTTTCTAGCAAGGAATCGGCATCTTGATTTAGGGCCATATTTTGGTTTAAATTCTTGAAGTTTCTCTCGTTCAAAAGAGAAACTGGTATAACTTCCTCTTAAAATTTTTTTTAATTCGTACTCTTTTTTTTTTTTTTTTTTTTTTTTTTTTAACGTTTATTTATTTTTGAGACAGAGAGAGACAGAGCATGAATGGGGGAAGGTCAGAGAGAGAGGGAGACACAGAATCCGAAACAGGCTCCAGGCTCTGAGCTGTCAGCACAGAGCTGAACTCACAAACTGTGAAATCACGACCCGAGCCAAAGTTGGACGTTCAACCGACTGAGCCACCAGGCACCCCGTTTGCTTGGGTATTTTTGAAGAAAATGAAGTTCACATTTGCCTGGTCTTGTGTGCGGGAGAGGGATTTGAAGAGTTCTGTGTCACGGTTGTGCCGGAGAGGGTCTTGGGCACTGCATTGCTTCTCCAGAGGATGTGTACTTGATTTCCATCCCCAGCCAGGTTCTGGTTCAGGAGGGGCAACCGGCTGTGAGGTTCATGAGTACAAGAGGATCAGGGATCACGGAGCACACAGACAGGCAACCGTCCGGGACTGGCGTGTGCGTGCCCTAGTGACAGGACTCTCACTCCTTGTAGCCCCCAGACGGTTTCTGCAGCACTGCGGCGAAATGCAAGGGAGCAGCTGGGCAAGGTCTCCGTCGTAGTGCTCCTTATTTTAAGTGCCTTCTCTATGGAGTCCGTTTTCTTGTCTCACAGAGAAAGCCGTAGCCCCTTAAACAGCATTGTCTCTAGTTGCTTGCTCATTGTGTGCCTTCCTGGTTGGAGTGTAAGCGTTCTGTTAATCTTGTTCTTGCCGGCGGTCTCCTCCCACACCCGGCATGGGGCCGGGTACCGAGTTGGTGCCACGGGGCTTCTAACAACAGGTGAGCCCTGCTCGCTCACCATCACCTCCAGCCCAGCAGTGCCAGGGGAGTGTGGCCGTTTGCACCCGAGTGGAGTTTGGAAGTCATGGTAGCTGAGTTGAGGAGCTGGCTCGTGAGAGAGTCTCTTACTGAGAACATTGTTCTTAAGTTCTCCGGGCGGAGGCCAGAAAACATTCACCACCCGTTTTCAAGAAGAGGCTCGGAAGATACTTTCCTTTTTCCTGCAGGTTGGCTGGATATTTACAGACCTGGTCTCAGAAGACACCCGGAAGGGTACAGTGCGATACAGTCGGAATAAGGTGAGGTGGGATGGGAGCCCGCAGCTTGGTCACGAGCCCGCGGGGTGGCCACGCACAGCTCATCCTGGCTTCTAGGCCAAATGATTTTCCACACAGTGGGGAAAATCGATAAATTACAGATGGGTCTGTCGATGTGTCTTCTAGAGCAAAACCCCTGGCCTTCACCTGCCAGTGCTCTCGGAAGGTGAGCCTGTAGGGCGGATGCTTGACGCTTCTGGCCTTCATAGTTATTTGCGGTGGGAAAGGAGCCCGTGACAGCTAGGGACTGGAGGTGTTGACGTCGGGTAGCCGTTGACAGAGTTCAGTTCTTAATGTTTTCTAAAGAAGAAATAGATGCCGTACAACTCCATGTGCCGTTTCTCTTTTCTCAGGACACCTATTTCCTGAGTTCGGAAGAATGTATCACGGCAGGAGACTTCCAAAATAAGCATCCCAACATATGTCGACTCTCTCCAGATGGACATTTTGGATCCAAGTTCGTTACCGCGGTGGCTACAGGTATGTGTTTTGTTCTTCTTTTGGTGGCTTTTCATTCTCAACTTAGTTACTACTGTGCCTGTGAGATGCAGATTCCTCTTTTTGTTTTGTGGTAGAAATCTAGAACTTACCTGCATCGCCCGTAGAGCCACTGAAACTGGGGCCTCCGCGTGGCTCTTCCCTCATCTGCTCCCGTTCCAAGGTCAGGTTCACTTGGTTCTGGGTCTCTGCTCGGGGCTGCCTTTGCCCCTTCCGGGAACCAAGAGTGACTGGCCGTGCAGGAGAAGACTTACTGTTTGTTATTTATTTTTGACGTCGTGAATAGGAGTCATTCAAGATACCATTTCCGTGCACGTGTGTGTGTGTGTGAGAGGTTATATATGTCCTATTCTGTGTTATGTGCGTCACAAGTAGATAGTGACCAGAAAAATCGGGGCCCCATAAAAAAGTGCCGCCACATCTCCCATAACATCCTTGACGGACGCTGTCGTAGGAAGAGCCAGCCATAGGACCGTGCAGTTTAAAACGAGTAGGAACTTTAAACTTGAGAACCAACTCCTGCAGACGTGATCTGTTTGGTCACTTTGGTCCAGTCTAACCCGAACCCCGTGAAGACCTGGTTTCTGCTCTCACAGTTTGTTCACGGTGGCCATCCTTCCCCTAGTCTTGTAGGAAGAAGCACCCTCAGGTCACACCAGTGTGCAAATAGCCCGAGCCCGTAAGCAACTAGATCCCCTGCTAATCCAAGTTGAGGCTGCTACGCTGTCACGGGAACCGTGATGAAAAACACTGCCTGAGATTTTAAGATGCATCAGCTTGAGGTCCATTGGGATTGGTAGTCACTTCTTTGAAATGAATGTCCTTTTGACGAGTGAGAGGCAATGGCAGCAGCTTTCACATGCTAGTGTGAATTAGTTGAGTTGGATTTATTTTCGTAACCTGTTTTTGGCCAGGTACTTAAGGGAGTGGATGAGAGCGTCGAGTGGGGTTACAGTAAACGGTTCCCCAGCGTAGGGTCCTTCCAGGAAGGCGGCTTGGCCACGGGCTGTCACGGTGGGTGCCGAGCAGGAGGAGAGCAGCTCAGACTGGACACCGAGCAGGGGAGCCGGGGCAGGGGCGGGGGCGGGGGGGGGCCGTCTGAAGCATCGCACCTCGTCCCTC